GCATTTCAAACTATGAAACAGGAGATGATATTGAAAATAACGACAACGGAAGTAAGAAAACGGGCCCTTGCGTGTGTTAGAAATCGCAGCGAACATTTTTAACACGAAAAATAAGTGATTTCAGTTTAAATTTTGTTTTAATTTATTCATCTTAAATTTAAAAAAATCTTCCTCAATTAGGATTTCTGGTCTTAGTTTCAACAATTTTTAAACCATTTGCATAAACGATACCTCAAAAGAAAGTACAATAACTGAACATGTTTTTAAAAAGCTTTGAACAAACAAAACACCCTCCGTGTTTTTTTTGTAAGCCTAAGATAAACAGCTTTTTTCCATTTTCAAAATTTACGATAATTTTAAATATCTGTAAAAAAAATGTTTGCTGATACAGATGTTTTAGACATTTTTTCTTAGTTTGCTTTGACACTTGTTTTATCAATTAAAATCAAAAAGAATTCATTTATTATGTCAATTAGCCAATACTTGGAACTAACTGTGTACTTTTAGGTTTTTTTCTTTAAAACCGTTAAAAAATATTAAAAATAAAATGGTCAGACTTCGTCTATGACAAGTATGGCTCAAATGTTTCTAAATGATCTCTGTTAGCTTTCCTTTAAAGCTTTGCACTCATCTTCCAAACACCCTGTATATATAGAAAAGGAATAAGCTTAGACTAGTTACGTCGTTTTGTTTATATCACTCAAATGCCATTTGTCATTCAAAGAACAGAGACAAAACATGGAATAACTAATTCAAGCTTATTCTACGTTTATTAATAAGGCGGTAAGGGTTTTATTTTAGACTGGTTTATGATAATTTATGGCTTTATTTTAATTCTGCGGTATTTAACAGATTACGTCGAGTAACCGTTGTAAGCAAGTGGACTGTATAGAAATGAAAGATGTGTTTAAAGGAATAGAATATTATAATGAAATAGGTAAATTACAATAATAATAATTAAAATATTAAGGTTTTACCGCTTTGGTCACATTGCACACATGCAGGTTCGTTTCCGCGAGGCTCCACGTAAGCTGTGTGCAGTGGCCAGCTGTATTGGAGACCGCTGTGTAGGAGAATATAAGAGACATTTTGAAGTAAGCTGTGTCAGAATTTTCATTAATTATTAATTTTATAAACACTTTGAAACTTAAATAGAGTAATAAAAACCAAATTTAATAGACTCAGATTACTTTATTTTATAAGGAAAATAAATACCTTCAAAATTATGAAATGTTTTAAAGTACACTATTTATTGATTATTAAAATACCAAAACAAAGTATAAAATGTTTTTATTTATTTTTAAGTATTTAACTGCTAGATGTTTAAATCTAAAGAAAAGTTTACTAGAAAAAAATCCACGTCCAAATCCAAAAAAATGGGTTACCTACAATGCGAAGAGATGGCGCTGCCTTGCAGCTTAAGGCTAGGAAAATTTCGACGCGGCAAATAGGGCCGTGGTAGCATAATGGTCAGTGCATTCGCCCGGATTGCGAAGGGTGCGGGTTCGAGTCCCGTCCGCTGCCTGGCCCGCGTGGATTTTTTTCTAGTAAACTTTTCTTTAGATTTAAACATCTAGCAGTTAAATGCTTAAAAATAAATAAAAACATAACTATAATTGCTATTTCTTCTTTCAAATGTTGAATACTTGAAAAAGTATTCATTTGACATTGTGGGTTACCTACAATGCGAAGAGATGGCGCTGCCTTGCAGCTTAAGGCTAGGAAAATTTCGACGCGGCAAATAGGGCCGTGGTAGCATAATGGTCAGTGCATTCGCCCGGATTGCGAAGGGTGCGGGTTCGAGTCCCGTCTGATTTTTTTCTAGTAAACTTTTCTTTAGATTTAAAGTATAAAATCTTTACTCGCAAACAACTAACCTCTTATTTTAATTTATAAGATTACAGAAGTAATTGCTGTTGTAAATAGCAAAAGTATATTATTATATTATGACTTACAATATTAAACAATAAAATAATTCTGATAAAAGTTATAATTATAAACAACAATAGGAAAATGATTACTTAACTCAGAGCTCCACTCGGTCCGATGCCGATGGCTCGATACAAAGAACACGTGTACAAAGATTTTGCTGACTACCCGCAAATTATGAAATATTCTATTAAATTATGTAATTTAGTGCTAGGAATAGATTTTCATAGTATTTTATATAAAACCTACATTACAAAAATCAAGTATGAGTATTGAAGCAGCAATAACATCACTGAATCAACCATTATTAAGTGTTCAATAATTATACAACAACTTCAAAGGCCGTATCGATGTTTATTATTTAACAGCTGCATGAGAGGGGCAAACGGGCAACTCATACACACACTTTGAGGTGGAGGAAATTTTGAGGCAAAGCGGTGTGTATATTAACTTATTTATTTTCTCAGACCTATCTATGCTACGCTTCTCCACGAGCTATTAATGCAGATTATTATTTTCCTTACACAATCTTCTGCCTTCTGTCAGCACAAGACAGCTCTACTCCTCTCTACACATCACCTTTTCTGCTTCCCTGCTTCGGTAATAGATAACATTCAAACTGTACAATGGTTTTTTACGCTATGCTCGTAGTCTCCGCTCTGTGAAAATCCAAGTGGACTTTCACAACTTTTACTTAAAGTAAGTAAAATTCGTTATGAAGTACCAAGGTACTTTACAGAAAATTAATATATGTATTGCTTCATTAAGTTACGAGTTATCATTCTATTTTTATCGCAAAGGCAGTGATAATATCAACTTTAGTCAAAATTTATTCTGACCTCGGCCGCAAATAATGCAGTAGGCTCACAATAGATTCTTTGAATTGATTTTTGATTAGGTATCTTGCGCAATGCTTAATTGCAGTCAACAAATTTGCTGTTATAACTTTATATAAGGTTAAGTACCCAGAGGTACTTGTCTTCATCGTCGCTCATACACGAGTGTGCATATGCAGAAGCAATTATGCAGACTAATTAGACAAAGCACAGACGATTTACACGTAAAAGTGTACAATTAGTACTTGCTTTGTTCCGAGTTCCTATGTTTCAATCACATTTATTTGTTTTGTATAATTTTTAATTATGGTAATTATGCCTAATTAGACATACGTAATGATATAATTGGCAAAACAGGAACCGTTTAAGTACCAAATATTTGTATTATAGATTTTTAATTTGTCCCATTATTGTAATTTGTCAATAATAGATAATAATAATAGATGTTCGTAAGAATAATTATTATTATTTATAATGCGTTGTGTTCGTTTTCACAATAATGCATTTGTTACACTGGTTTTGATTATTTAAATAATCAAAATTTACAGGATATGAAAAAATTTGGATGCTTTAGTACGCCTAATTGTCATAAAACATGTTTGCTCCAGTAGTTTTTATTTTCCACTTTTTCAAGTCAGAGCAACATCAGCTAAGTTTCAGCAATTTGGGTAGGTTCGTGATTTATTTTAGTTACCTATAATATCAACTGCTAAACATGTTTCACAAAATATTCCTTATCCCGATTCAGAAACGTTCATTGATGAGAAGTTCTCCTGTTACTTGACTTTCATCTCCACTTTATTACCATACAAATTTTAACGAATGTAAATTGCTTTGCAACCAAATTAAAGTAATCATCACAAGTAATGAAATACTTATAATTGGCTCATGTAGAAAGAAAGAAGAAAGAAATTAAATTAGTTACCATAAAAAGCACCTAAATTACTATAGATTTTTTATTTATTTATTTAATAGGTTTACCAGAAATTGTTACAATAATACATTGTAAATATTACAGCGATAGTACTATAGCTAAAAGCACAAATTATTAAAGGTAAACACCACATGCAAAGTTAATAATTACCAGTAACATTCAAAGAATATTAAAATAAGACATTTACAAAATTTTGCCAATTTCTAAAGCTACATAATATCAACATACTACAACGTGGTCAACTGCAAGTGCTGACGAAATGCATTGAGACTAACAGCATAAATATCTATAGAATGATCCAAAGAATTTATACCGTTGTGCGAAGAGGTGGAACTAATGTTTTTATGTGAGTTCTGGGTAATGTACGGGGAACATTAAATTTAAAAAGTAAATAAGAAGGCCAGGGCAATCTATTTTATTGTTAAATAATTTATACAAATATATAAGATCAAGTAGAATCCTACGGTTTTCTAATAATGAAGAATTAAAAGTAATAAAAATTAGATGTTCACATATTTCTTCTGGAGCCCATTGTCTATCATATTCTGACTTGATGAATATGGGACTAACTGGGAAGCATAAGCTTTTAAATAAAGGAAGAATTTTGAAAATTGTTCCATAATTCACGAAAATATTGCCGAACATACACAAAAAATACATATACATACTTACACGACGAATATTAGACCTTGTTTGAAACGGTTTAAAAAAATTTGGTACGTAGTTAAGTAAAATATGCTTTGTCTTTTTAGAAGACGGGTATTCATTTGATAGCCTGGAGCAGCAAGAGCAATAATTTACAAATTCAAAAGGTCTGTGAAACAAGAGAGCGAATTAGAATTTGTAATTAGTCTGAAGCAGCGCCGCGGCTACTCCTACGACATTTGATTAGCAATTATGTTAATTTGAATTAGATCAGGGTGAGATTTCTTCTAATTTGTTAGTTAAATTATTATCCCCAACACCAGGACACATAAAATTTATTCCGCGATTTAAATATGTACAGATTTAACTACCTTTGATGGCGCATACTTTTATTAGTTTTATAACTTGGTTATAACCTACTACCTAATTAGGTATTTTTAAAGTGAAACTTTATAACATCGCCACATTTTTTTCGGCCATCTTTAGCATGTCGCATTACCTTTTTAATTATTATAAATAATAGTAATTATAAATAATTATTAATAAACCATAAAACCCGGCGTACAAACCACTCGGCTACGGAGGACGTTATTAAAAACTTCTGCCCTTATCAACAAGCATCGGTGGTTCAGTGGTAGAAAGTTGCCTGCTACGCACGCGGGCGGCCCGGATTCAATTCCCTCCGAGCCGAGGAAAGATTATTTATTAAATTATATTAAAAGTTTTACTTGCATCGTGGTTTCAAAAAACCACATAATTTTATATGAATTATACTATAGGGACTATAGTTTTTGCTCTTGAGCTTTTGTTATTTCGGCGTGGCGACCTACGTGGCCGAGTGGTTTGTACGCCGTGTTTCAAGGTGTCGCCTACTCGAGAGGTCTCGGGTTCGAATCCCGGTGAGGGCAGATGTTTGTGTGATGAATACGAGCATTTGTACACAAGTCATGGATGTTTAATATGAATTTATAAATAAATATACTTATACATGTATCAGTATATGTATTCTATCCGTTACCGTAGTATCCCATAACACAAGCCTACAGTGCATATTTTGAGGCTAGGCTAATTGGTGTGAGTGTTGGAAATATTTATTCATCTATTATCTTAAATCACTCGATCTTTTGCTGAAAACTAAATTAAAATCTGTTAGAAACTTTAACTGTGAGGGGCCCATCGTGCAGTCGCAGTTCCATATCTAGAAATAACCATTCGTCCAAATTATATGCAGTAAAAGGGAAGTCTTTTGTTTGTAACACTTAAGACGATATAGGTATTTAGTTATTTTAATAGGAATTCATGATTGTTATTAAGATGACCAAGAAACATGACCTAACGGTTTAAATTATTTTTTTAATATAAAAAACTACTTTTAGACTTCAATATAAAATTTAGACGTATGCAGTCATTGACTTTTATGTAGGCATTATCAAGCTCTGCAATTTTTCTCTGGACTCTAGTAGTTAATCATATATCTCTCATGGTTAAGGCACATATTACTTTATAGTTACTACATGTTATGACAGAGTTCGTAAGAAACTTTTTCGTTTCCGGTTAATATTTCTCCTAATAACCACTCTACACAGGTACTTTTTAATGTCCAAATCAAGAAACGATAGCACCAAAATAATGAGAATGGAAATCAAGTCCTAAATAATTCGAATAGCATTCGCGAAGATTAATCGTTTAATTGCCGAATTTAATGTATTGGAGACAATAACAGAGAGTGAGAGTGTCGCTATGGGGTGTGCGTAAAAAAACGCTGTGGAGACGGGAGTTGCGAGGCACAGTTTTTTAGCTCCGCACCGCGCGGTGCAATTTAATTATCGGAGCGAGCACCCGCGCTTTACCCTTTTGTATCTTAACCCCCGGATGAAAAAATACTCTCCCATAAAATAGAGGACGGGTACGAAAAAAAGGAGCGTATGCAAATTCAGGATAAAATATAGCCCGTAAATGCCACCGTTTCTAAAAGAATATTAGAGACGTTTTTCAGTGGGTGGATGGGGGTGCTACTTTATACTTTGTCTCCTCGTGCTAAGTACTGCAGCTACGGGTGTCCGCGAACAGAATCCGCCTTAATTTGCGACTGTTGTTCAACAATAAATCAACGCGGGCGCTCCAATATGCCCTACTCTACGGGGCGAGCGGCTTCAGTTTACGCTTTATAATTCATTAACTTCGTTAATGTAGCCCGGCGAGCTTTAAGATAATTTAGACATTTCATATATCAATTTTCGTAAGAGAGTAAAACAACAATTGCTATGTCACACAACATCTCACACTGCTACCGTTTAACATTTCTACGGCCCCTTCAGTTTATCGGTGAAGTCTACAAAAATTTGAATTATAAACAAATACATAGCGAACGTAGGAAACTAATATGAAATTAAAGGTTTAATAAGAGGGGTTTAGTTTTTGTGCCACAAGAATGGTAGCTTTTTATTCGGTTAGTAATGAGGGGTCACCTGAAGAGGAATGAGTTAATAGGCGTTTTAATTATTGAGGACGCAGCGGAGCGGGCGCCGGGGGAGGTGGAAGTACAAGAAAGAGACAACATCAAATATTTAGCGCGTAATGCCGGCCACTCTCTCGCTTGTAATTAAAGCGTTCTTTCCTTTTTTCAGCGGCCTGATACAATATTCAGCATGAGAAGGAAGCGCTTCGGTGGCAGGGTGGCGCCTCCATTGTATTCGCTAAGGAAGATAAATTAAAAAATATAATTACAAGGCGGCCGCCATAATTCTCGGCGGGCGGGTGGGTGGCGGGCGCGGGATAGTGGAGGAGGGGGTGCTCCCGGAGGAGGCTTCTTAAATATTTGGGGATAGCGCGTACCTACGCATTACGTAAATTAATGACACGGATTCAAGGAAGGATGGCACCCCGCCCCCCTCCTTGTTTGTTTTGTTTTAATGTGCGTTGTTAACGACCTTATTAGACGCAAATTATAAAACGCGAACCACTCTCAGTTCCGGCCCTCTCCGCTCGGATGATCGGACTAATGACTCCTTTTTATACGTATTGTTATTGAGAGGCCTACCTACCTACCTACTTGCGGAGCTCCGCTCTTTCCTACGATTTATATCTGTTAAAACATTTATGGTGGTCGTTTATTAAAACTTTATTCATTGCTTTACATTTTCGTCGTCCCTGCAAACTGGAAAGGTAAAATGTTCACTCTGATACCGATTTGTTAATTACGGAAAATCATAGCAATGTTTTTTTTTGTCTCAAAAATAGTAAATAATGTACTAAACGAACGACAATGATGACAAATAAAAAAAAATACGTATTTGTCTACCATTACTCAGAAAAGTGCTTGTTCATATAACAAATTTGGAGTAAAATGTGAATCGCTGCCGTTGAATTTTTAGTGTCAAATTTAGGATAGGTACTTAAATTATAATTTTACAGGAGACAGCTTTGATTTCAAGTAGGTAATATCTACCCAGATCAGTCTGTCAGTCCTGAATCTTTTATATGACTAATAAATCAACAAGGGTTTTTGGGAGAGTTAACAAAAAACCTAACGATGCTATTTAAATAAAATAAATAAATATTTCCCACACTCACACTAATTAGCCTAGCCCCAAAGTAAGCACTGTAAGGCTTGTTGTTATGGGTTGCTAGGGTAACGGATAGAATACATATACTGTACATATATAAGTATATTTACATAGAAATACATATTAAACATCCATGACTGGAGTACAAATGCTCGTATTCATCACACAAACATCTGCCTCCACCGGGATTCGAACCCGGGACCTCTTGAGTTGGCGACACCATGAAACCCGGCGTATAAACCACTCGGCCACGGAGGTCGTCATTTGTTGTAATGAATTTGTTACATTCTGTGTTCAGTTATCACTAAAGTGGAGGTACAATGTTCCCTAAATCCTGTAATAACGTTCGCTGAACTCTCTAAAACTGACATATAGGTAATATGTATGTTGGAATCTGTAGACGTATTTGTATCGTGAAGTTGCGTGTGTGTCTCGTATTGTGGGCGCGCATGCTCACACATATTCGCTCAACAAGTGTCTCCATGTGCTCGCAACACACGTTTCTCACAACTTTAATGTCAGTTTTTTTTTAACATTAGTTTCAAATCGTATACTTATTTCTGTCTCTTAACGTACACTTGTCTTGGAAGGCTTCTGCTATCTGATTTATCAAAAAAACAAATAATAACTAAAGGAGATTGTTCAGCTTCCATACATGTTTGGCCTAAAGACCAATAATCATGAAAAATTATTTCCTATATTCGAAATTATATATAAATTACTGTAGAAACGAATATTATTGACGGACACCCCTGAGAACTTCTATATACCATATACATTGAACATATTAAAATAATAAAAAAACAAATAAGTTATATAGTAAACTAGGGAAATCAAGCCAAGTACCGAAATTATGGATTAGATTCAGGTATATAGAGCATGTAGATTAACAGATAATTGCCTGTTTTTAAAGTAACTAACTAGTAATAAGAGTAACTTTTAAAATCAGGTGTCATTTCCGGTTATAATAAGGTACTCTGTGACAGAAACTGTGTGATGATGTGAATGAGCCACAGATTAGAGAGAATTTTTAAACTCTCGTTAACCAAAGAAAGCTAAGAGATTTAGGTTCTATAGCCATATATTCAGTAGCTTCATTATTTTTGTCATGTTTTTAAGATAACCATATTTTAGATTTTTAGTGTATCACACCTTATAATTTTATTTATTTATTAATTTATAGTCAGGGAACGTAGGCCCATAGATAGATACCTTAAAGTCTAACATATTATATACAGATTATAATATGTTTATGGAGGTGTTTGGCGAAAACTGTATGGCAATAGACTTTATGATGTCGCCTACCATCTATAATAATTGTCTGAGCACATTTGCATCTTGTGAAAATGATAATATAGTTGTGGATATTAATACCACAGTGTAATAAAAAAAATGATTTATTTTATCGATCTTTACAAAGTAGGTTTGTTTCTATGTTATATAAACAACTTCGATCAGTCTTTGGCTGAATGTTACTACACCCATAGCCATTAAAAATTATTTGTATGTTTTCCAAACCGGTAAAATTAAAAGTCCTTTTTACAGTAAATATATACAGTCATTAGATTTCAAAGGTGTCCGTTGAAATCTAATGACTGTAAATTAAATTATAAATTACGATAAGAATTACCGTGTATGTCAATATTTTTTGTGCATTTGGGCCAATTTGAGCAATCTCCTTTTCTACGTGTTTCGGTATTTGTGAGGAGTAAAAATCTTTTTAGAGTAACTTCATCAAAAAAGGAACCCTTATAGAGTTACTGTCTAGACCTCTTCTTACAAATAGTTGTACAGGTATCAATCATAAATTAAGTATTTTATTAGTAATCAGGCCTGCAATTCCTTGGAGCTATGAAAAAAGTAAACTTCTAGTTAACACAATCGATTGATAGGTACCTACGTTTTTGTCGTATTTTTGGATATAGCAGGGCGTTAAAATCCGTTGATCTCGATCTAGAATCATGAAATTTGTTTCTATCACAAGTATTTAAATGGAAAATTCCAAAAGCCGTAAAATAGATTATGAACTTGTACACGAACTACAAGTTTGTACGTAATCCTCGTTACTGTATTACGTAGAAATAGGAGATTTAATATTGATGTAGCAGAACAATGGTATTTATTGGTACAAACCAACACTCTTTTAGTAGCTGGCTTCATAATGTGCAATTCGTTTTTCATAAAATTTCAGGGCAGATGTTATGTATAAGCTAATTTCAGTTGTGAAATGTTGCACTCTAGCCATTCTCACTTTGCCAGTCTGTACCCAATTCCCTACCCCGGAGCCCTGGGACATTACTCACGAACTTACTCACAACAAAAACACAACACCATCAAAAGGTAGGTACTTAGTGTTATTTCAGTTTAGTTATCTAAACGGTGGAGCT